TTCACCAACATCGATGTCATTTTACACCTCACCTAAGGCCTTCCTGTGCAAATATTGTACTTCACAGTGTGACATTTGGGTAAGCCAGTTGGAAATGGTCCTCAAACCTGTCATTCAATATTCAAACAGAAATAACAAATGTTAAACAGATGAGCTGCGGAAGAACCAGCAGAAAAGATAAGCGGGAAGAGGCAGAGGGCGGACCATGAGGCTCCTCTTAGGCAATATTTGGAGTTTAGATGTTCATTCCCTAAGTGGTAAAAAATTCCCAAGGATTTAGAGTGAGAGTGGTTTAACAATATGATGATTGCATTTGAGATTTATTTCATTTTTAATGGGTGAATTAAAATTAGACATAAGAGTTGGTTCCACTGTGGTATATCTATAAATGCATACAATATAATTTGGTCAATTTTATTTCCCAGTATTTTCACTTCTCCTCCCTTTCTTATTCCCCCTCATCCACATTTTCTGTTTTACTGATCTCCCTTCTGCTTTCATGTGATTCTTTTTATGCCTTTTATCGTTCTAGTTTCTGCATATGAAAGAAAATATTTGACCTTTGACTTTCTAAATCTGGCCTGTTTCACTTACCATGATGTTCTTCCAGTTCTATCTATTTTCCTATGAGTCACATAACTTCATTCTTCTTTATGGCTGAGTAAAACTCCATGTGTACATATTCTTTATACTTTCTTCTCCTGAAGTATACAACACTGGTTCAATGACTTGGCTATTGTATATATTTGGGCTTTGAAAAGACTGCATCACAGAATCCATTGGTGTGTTCAAGAGAGGGCACTGGAGGACCAGTGAAGGTCCTGCTCCATTGCTGAGGAAGAGTCAACAGAGCAGTGGAGCTGCTGGGAGTGGGGGGGTGGGGGGACACATTTCTGAAGCCCAGGATGAAACTGGGAGTACACTGGGAGCTGATGGAAAAGGCAGTACAAAAATTTGTCCCTGTTTCTTGAATGACAAATGGATTCAGTGATTTCAATCACTGGAGTCCGTCTGAATCTTCAGTTCAAGTAGTTTCTGTTTTATGTAACTAGGTGCATCTACATTTGTGACATCAATATTTTCTATCATTATCTATTGTTGAATTGTTCTTTTTACGACTATGATGTAACCTTTGTTTTTTTCTGATTAATTTTGGCTTGAAGTCTGCTTTGTTCAATATGAGATGAGAGTGGCTACCATTGCTTGCTTTGGGTTTCCATTTGCATGTTATATCAATTTATATTATTTCACTTTCAGCCACTGACTGTCTGTGCCTTAAGGTGACTCACTTGAAAACAATATAAGGTTAGGTTTTTAAAAAAAAAAATTACAACCTGCCAGCCTACATCATTTAATTGGAGATTTGAGACCATTTATAGTCAATATTATTATAGAGAGATATTCACTAAGTACTGCAATTTTGATTCATTTTCAGTGTTTCATTTGGTCCTGTTTCTTACTTGCTTAACTACTCTTCAAATGAGATTTGTCCATTTGTAAGCTCTGAGATTTTTTTATTTCTTCTGTGTGAATTATTTCTGTAAGTATTTTTTATAGTGCTGGCTTTAGTCATGAATCTTATTTTCTGCTTATCTTTGAAGAATTTAATTTTTTCTTTGATTCTGAAGGATAGTTTTATAGGATATAGCAATCTTGGTTGACACTTAGTTTCTTTCAGGACTAGGAAAGTCTCATTCTAAGTCCCTCTGGGTTTTAAAGTTTATGCTGAGAAATTGGAACTAATTCTGAGAGGCTTGTCTCTAAATGTAATCTGATGTCTTTCTCTTGAGATTTTTAAAGCTGCGTTCTGCATGTTAGACATTTTAATGTGTCATGAAGAGGATCTTTGTTGTCTATTTGGGATTTTGAATGCCTCCTGTATCTGGAAAAACATCTTATTTTCAGTTTGAAAAAAGGTGTTCTGTTCTGTTATTATTTCCCTGAAGAGGTTACCTGTGTCCTCAGCCTCAACCTGGCAATCCTGTTCCATTCCAAGGATTCTGAAATCAGGTCTTTTAATGTCATCAAAGTATTCTTGTATATTTAGGTTATGCTTGCTTGTTTTCTCTTTTCTAATACTGCATGAATCCTCAAGGCAAACACTTTTTCTCCCAAAGTAATGTTCTGATATTCTGTTATCCTGTCTTCATTATGATCTACTTTATTAGAGATAAATTTAACTAAATATTTTTGTTTTACTTAATGAGTCTTTTATTCCCAAGATTTCTTTTTCATTATCTGTACCACCTTACTGAATTTTATGTTCATATTCTGTACTGAGTTTCTTAATTTATTCAGTTGTTTTTCTGTATTCTCTTGGTATCCATTGACAATTTGTATAATCATTCTTTTGATTTTTTTTATTATTTTGATTTTTTTCATCCACTTCATATCTTTGGAATCAATTACTGATAAAGTATAAACTTTACAGTTGTCATGTTGCCTTGTTTTTTTTTTTTTCATATTTCTTGCATTCCTGCAATTGGTTTGTGTATCTGTTGAGATGGATTTATCTTTCACACTGATCTGTGGACCACTGAGTCAATTTTCTTTTTTCAAAGTGTTCTAGAGTGATATAGATTGATACCCCTTATGGGTGTGGTATCTATAGCCTTTGTATTAATACTATTTTCATCTAGAGGAGAATGTTCATGAGTGGACCTAACCATTCCTACTGGGGCATGCTCATTTTCTTGGGTTTTTTTTTCACTTCTGCTCTTTGTATTCAAGTGTCAACAAAATTTGAATTTGTTTAATATATGTGGGGACTAAGTTGCATTGTTTCTTGACTCAGTTTATCTGAGGAGCAGATTCTCTCCTCTCCTTATCTCTGACTGGAAACCCACAGGGCACTCTCTTCTCTTTGCCTGTTTCACTCACATTTTGCTAGGTATACCCTAGGTCATGCAGTAGGTGCAGCATGGCAATATTTGTTATAATCTCCTGCAGCAAATGTCAATGTGATCTTCTCCAGATGGCTCTCACTTAGCTCTCCACTTGCCAAATGAAAAACACAGAGAATTATTTAGATCCAAGTTCACTGTGCAGGCTCTGAACCCACTAAGTTGAGGATCCTTTTCTCTTCTACAGTGTTTCTCTGCCAAAAGTGCCACTGTGTTTCTTTTTCTGTTTGTCTCATGTTTCCCCTCCCAGGGAACTGGCACCACTGCTAGTGCCACTGCCACCACCAGCTGGATTATAATGTACTTTCTTGTTCTCTGTTCAATGCACCCAAATTTCTAAATCTCTAAGAGACTCTGATTGCCACTTATTGAATTTCACCTAATTCCCTGTTTCACCAAACTTGCTGAGGAACAGTACCTTCTGCTTGAGTACCAAACCTATGAACAATCGCAAATCCATCTTTCCTCTCATCTGCCATCTTGAGTCATATTTCTTTTATTTTTTTAATTTTTATTTTTTGCATTGTCTTTAGTCTTTAAGTTCAAAAAGCTGCTTTTTTTTACATTTTAACTTGATTCACTCAGGTCATTTTTCTCCACATCTATTTTCTTTCTATTTCCCTTTTTTCATCATGAGAAACAGAGATTTTTTTTCTTTGATCTTATCTAAATAGGAGGAAAAGACAAGGGCTGGGGATATAGCTCAGTTGGTAGAGTTTTCCCTTGCAGGCACAAGGCCCTGGGTTCAAACCCCAGCACCACAAAAAAGAAAAAAAAAATGGGGTGATGGGGGGGGGAGTCAGTAAATAACCAGAAAGAATGATTTCATTCTATACGATTTACAAAAGTAAGTACTATTTAGCAATTCAGTGTTGCTATAGAAGAGAGCTTATTTTCATGATAAGTATTGAAAATTGCTTTTAAACTGGATAATGACAAAGGATAATTTGATCCTTTCTCATCATTGAGTGGCAAAATTATACTAATGCTTATTAAAAAAAATTAAAGTATTAAAGCTTATTAACTGAAATCCAATAGGATTATTTGTCTCTTCATGTGATTTGTTTATTAAAAAGAATACATGCTATTTTAAAAATTTGTATTTGTAATACAACAAAAGCATAAAATCCTCTGTCAAAATCCAAAGGAAAACCTGAGATCCCATTTTTGTCCTCTATAGCAGTCTGCTCATAGCATTGAGCTATAATTGACAGGTGCCTGTCAATGGCCCTGTAGGGGAAAGACCCTATCTTGCTCATGGTGATATCCCTAGTACAGAAGGCAGAACCTGGATTAATGTGGGTCCAGTAAGTGTTTCTTGGCCAGGTGTGGTGGCACATGTCTGTAATCCTAATGGCTCTGGAGGCTGAGGCAGGAGGATTAAAGTACAAAGCCAGACTCAGCAACTTAGTGAAGTCCTAAGCAACTTGCCAAGACCCTATCTCAAACTAAAAATAAAAAAGGGCTGGACATGTGGCTCAGTCGTTAAGCCCCCTGGGTTCAATCCCTGGTACAAAGAAAAAAAAAAGTTCACTGAGTGAACAGGAAAGAGTGTCAGTAGCCTCAGGAATGCCAAGAAGACAAATGGAGACAACACGATGGCCTCTGATGAGTAGTAGACTGTGATGGACATAAGAAGCAAACTGTATAAGACTCAGGACATTCAGGATCTCAGGATCTGGGGAAGTCCAGTGTGGAAACATAAAACAAGATGCCCTTTCAGTCTGTGCCTCGCAGAGTCCAGCAATCTGACTCACAGGGTCACTAGAATCCTACAAAGATGTAGTCTAGGATGAAACTTATTGGTGTCTCAGATCACTAACTAACCCTTCTTTTTTATTTTTTCCATTTTTTAGAGAAAATCATTGAAGAACTTGGTAAGTTTTATATCTTTTTTCCATGCTAAATTGGAAATTCAGCCTCCATACCCCCAAAGCAATTATCTCTCTGTGTGATTGGTTGCAGAACAAAGAACATCTCTGTCAATAAAAGGTAAGCAAAGTTACATGTCATACCACTAATACCCCACAAACGATTACCTTCAACAGTCTTTTCTCAGTCACTCTGCTAATCTTGAATGTGTCCATCTCATTGCAGATCTGAAGGAAGCTCGAAGTTTTGCAGGTAGGTGCACAGAGAAGGAAGTGTGGTTAAGGATAACCTTATGCCTGTTCTCTAACCTCTCTGGGATTCTATTGTGAGAGAACAGGTTATTCCCTAATGATATATGAGATACAAGTAGGCAAAAAAAAAAAAAAAAAAAATCCTCAGATGCTGGATATAGGGACCTAAGTTGGCTAAGGCATAAGCTCTGGGCGGCACAGACATATCAGGGTCTCCTAACACTGACAGGCAGGCTCTCGTCAGTTAGGAGCAGGTCCTCACCATCCTCTTGTGACCACCACCATAGAAGTTGGGTTGGAGCAGCTTCTCTAGGAACACCATAGAACTCTTCGGGTGATGATGAAGAGATGATGAAGGGTTAGGTCTCTTGTCTCTCCTTTCCTTTCCAACTTCAAACCCTTCGTGTCCACCAGGTTATTCTCACCAACAGGAACACACACTTTTTCCTCCTTAGTTTTCTTAACAATAAAGTAAACAGCAATCTCAGTCAACCCAGTCTCTCCATCAGGCTGTTATCCTACTCCCCTCTCCCTTTCCAGAACAGCCTCATTTCATACTTGTAAATACTCTTTCCTAATTTGTATCCTCTGCTGTCTTCCCACCCCAGCTCCACAAATACCCACAGCCTGACAACGGCCCTCGTGGTCCTCAGTGTTCCCCACCACCCTCCTGCTGCCTCCTAGCTCCACCTCCTTCCTCTCCCTCCTCCTGCGGCACTGGCCAGTCTCCTGCCCTCTGAACCCACTGCTGAGCTTCCGCCTCTGAGCTGAGCAGGGGGATCATCTCCTTGACCTTCCCAACCCTTCTGTTATGACCCCTCTGTCCATGGAGGGCCTGATGTTCCTAGTGCTAACACCTGGAGACCTTCTGAGTGTCAAAACCTTGGTAAAGACCTTTCCCAAGGGGTTTCCATGCTCCACCCATCTCCTACCAGCTGAGGCCTTGCAAGCTCTGAGGTGACAACAGAAATCTGTTCCTTTCCTTTAGGAAAGGACCTTCAGACTGTAGGTGGGATGGTGTCCTGGATTTTAACAGCATGGTGTTTATTTTCTGTGTTGATGAAAAGGGCCTAGAACACATGTACCTTGTTCATCTGCCCTGCTTTGATCCCTCACAGAGAAGGTGAAGGGTCTTTTCTTATTGCTTACTAGTAACTGATCTCCTTCCTTCTGCAGAGAACATCATACTGGATGAACGCACGGCTCACCCCTCCCTCTATGTGACACAAAATGGGAAGCATGTTTATTCCCGATCTGTGAATCAAAATGTTCCTGATAGTCCTGAGCGATTTACTCTAATGCCATTTGTGCTGGGTCGGAACAGCTTCTCTAGTGGCAGTCACTACTGGGAGGTTCAAGTAGCAGGAAAGAGCAGGTGGGCTATAGGCCTCTGCTTGGATTCAGTAGACAGAGGAAGAGCTTATGAGGAGTCTTGTCCTGAAGCTGGCTTCTGGACCCTCTCCGTGGAGGATGGTCAGTACAAGGTGCTTTCAATGCACTCTTATAATATCAATGTCCCACTAGCGCCAGAAGTAGTTGGAATATTTTTGCAATATGAAGAAGGTTTGATCTCTTTCTATAATGTTATAGAACTTACCATTCTCTTTACTCTCAAAAGCAAGTTCACCCAGCCCCTGAGGCCATATTTCTACCCTGGACCTCCTATTCCAGGAAGCACTCGGGGCCTAACCATCCTGCATTTTCCATGAGCTTCTGATTTTTCCCTAGAGAAGAATGGAGAAACATTCCCCAAGGGTCATCCTTATGGACCATGGGCACAGTGGCCATTCCCCAGGCAGGATGCTGGGGGGCAGGGGTGTGAGGATCCCCCAAGGACCCTGGCTGCTCCCAGTGCTGTGGGGACTGAATGATCCTCCTCACGGGGCCAGCTCCACTGCTCATCAAACTCTGCCGTCCTAGCTGGATTCACTGCTGAAACTGATGAACATCATTTCTCAACAAATATCTCTTTTATATTTCTCACTATGCTTCACAGCTTATTCAGAGTATTTTACTTTTACTAATAAGCTGTTGCTTCTTCAGGAGTATACACCAAGTGCTGCCTATTTCCATGACTATTTTTGAGCCAAAACAACTGACTGAAACACAGTTTTTGTTTTGTGGGGGAGAGGGGATATACTGAGGATTGAACTCAAGGGCACTCAAACACTGAGCCACATCCCCAGCCCTTTTTGGTATTTTATTTAGATACAGGGTCTCACTGAATTGCTTAGTGTCTTGTTGTAGCTGAAGCTGAATTTGAACTCAAGATCCTCCTGCCCCAGCCTCCTGAGCCCCTGGATTAACAGGAGTGTGCCACCATGCCCAGTGTTGAGCACAGGTTTATACTAAGAATCATGATCTCAAGAAACTTGCATCCTGTAGCAGCTGACACACCTGGACTCTAAGACTTTTTCATGCAGGACCCATCTTATAAGCCTCTCCCAAGTTCCAACATTCTATAACACATTTCCTTAGCCTCCTTATCAATTTTTATATATTTAATTGACAAATGTTATATGTAAATTCACAGCTTAAAATATTGGATGTGTGTGACCATTGTGTATTTTTTATCACAATCACTTTTCATTAACAGACATACATAGTTTTATATTAAAAGTCCGAACCTACTCACTTTCCCATATAAAGTGGGTACACCTTGTCAGTACCCTCCAGTACCCTCTGACTGCTCCAGGTCCAGGAAGCCATGCTCTGCCCTCTGCTACCCTCAGGCTGAGTTTTGCATATATTCTGTGGATTCTGTGGTAAGTGGTCAACCCAAGCTTCCAAAACTAGGTTAAAGGCCATGGTCACCACAGCAGGAGTGTCAGCTCCAGGACGTCTCTTTCTTCCTGGAGTCACAGGACAGTATGAACCAAACCCTTGAGAGACAAACCAAGCCACCCCTCTCCAGAGTCCAAGATATAAAGCTCGGGTTTTCGCAAAACCCCAGGAAGCATACAGAGAAATTTAAACTCTCACACATTTGCAGGTTACAGCGCAAAATCACACAGCAGCTCAGGGAAGGTTCTGGCAGATTCTCATGAAGGTATCCAGACAAGCACCTTATGATCTGCAACCCCACGACCAGGTACATGCTAAAGAGAAAAGAATGCATGTGAACACAGAAGCAGGTACCAAAACCTCAAGCAGCATTATTAATAGTATCTAAAAATTGGGACCAGTACTGTTACTTGGACACTGTATGAATAAATTTGTAATCCGTTCACAAGATGAATTACAATTTGACATTTAAAACATGAAACCCTGACACATTCAACCAGAATAGGACCCTCAGAGAAGCTGAGGTGGGTGACAGAATCAGGGTTTGAGAAGACTGTACCCTATCTTGTGTGGGGTTCTTGACAGGTCAACCAGCCTGTGCCCACGAAAATCCCAGTTTGTGGTGTTAGGAGGGGGAGGGCTACCTGGATGGGGAGGAAGGACAGTCTGGAAAGGGGAGTGCTCCCCGTGTGCCGAGTGGGTACATGATGTAAACCTAGAACAGAGTCAGTACCTGCTCCCTGGAGGTCCTGGCATCCAGTGCTGGCCACTGTCCTGCAAGGTGGCTGCTCATCGTCCTTGCTTCCTGTGGTTCATGCCCTGATGTCCAGGTGCTGCTGCCTTCATTGAGTAAGGGCTGACCCTCCAGTAGTGGAGGTAACAGTGTGCACATCCATGGTTCATCCTCAAGGGTAGGTCCAAATGGGTCTCCAGCAGTACTCACTCTGTGGGAAGCCAGCACTACACCATGAGTACACTCACATGGCCCTGTGGAGGAGCCAGGGAATCTGAGTCTCCTGCTCAGAGCCTTGTGGACCAGGAGCCTTGAAGTGAGATTTCCAGCCCCACTGAGCCAACCTCAAACTGCAATGTGTGCAGAGATCCAGAGATGAAGCTTCTGACCAAGGCCTGAATCCCTGAGCTGCAGTGGGGAAACCATGGCTGGTGCAGCGCCCTGGCTCTCTCACCTAACTCAGTCTGAGGGGTGTTCCTAGCTGGATGGGAAGGGTGAAGATTGTCTGTGGATTGTGTGTCACCAAGCATTGTAAATAACAATGACCTACAATCAGTAGGTTTGCTCTTTGAGGCACTATCAGTAAGTAATTCTGAAATACATCTGTGTAATATAGGCTTAGACAAATGGGAAAGTATATCAAAGGAAATGAAACCTGGGTTTCTCATAGTTGGAAATGTTAGCTACAAATATGAAGGGGAAGATTAAGATGTTTGCTTTGAAAACTCAGTAGCAGTGAGCACACCAGTGACTAGAGGTTGATCTGTAAAATGCTTCATTCAACGGAACTAGAGGTCTTTAGAGAAAAGGTGGCTTCCAGGAACAAGCAAGCCATGTGGGCTGGGCTCTTCAGTCTTGTTATAAAGAAGGGAAGCTCTCAGACTGTGACATGAACAGAGACTAACTGTAGAACAGAGGAGGCAGCTGAAGAGGGGCCCTATGTTCAAGTTTGAAAAACAATAAAATTCATAATTAAATAAATATTCCATGTTTCTTGTTGACAGAGATTGATAATGAGAAAAGCACCCTATGCCACATGAGAACAAACTCCTCCATTCAGTAGAATGTGAGCTGACAAACAGGGAAGGAATCTAGAACTGTCACATGGAGCCATGTGCTCACAAGGGCTCAGATCATTCCCCTACAGAGTACTGTGTCACACCTGTCCACAATGCACAGGCCTGCTGGACAACAGCTAGACCCACAATGGCAGTTCCCTTGGATGATGTGTCATGCCCCTGACACAGAGCACTGGAGGCCTCAAGTCTCTGCTGCGGCCTCTCCAAGAACCCCCTCTCATGGTTCAATCTCAAGAAACCTTCAGAGTAATCCCCGAGAGCTGCTCTGTGCCTTCCCTGTACAGCACACAGCCAACAATCCAGCAATCCTCAGGTCACAGAAAGAGGAATAGTCCCAGGGTAAAGAGCATGGAATAAGTGACACTAAAAGCAGCCCAGGCTCCTGAATTCTACAATAAATAAGAACATTAACAGGTGAAAAGGATGCTGTTGTCAGGAGTGGCAGAACTGTGGGGGAGCCGCTGATGGTGTGGGGTCAACGTTGGGTTGCACAATTCACAGAGAAGTCATAGATGTCCTTGTTCTTAGGACATACACATTGAATTATTTAATGAGGGGGAAATATGAAGTTTCCAAGTGACTCCCAAGTGACTCACAGAAAGTCTGCACATACATGGTGTGTAGCATGTGTACACATTTAGCACATATGAAGATCTTACCTGATACTTCTAGTCTTCAAACTCTCTGTGAGACTGAAATCATACCAAAATGCCACATTAAAAGATACACAGTATACATGTATAACACCCACTTAAGGACCTCCGCTGCCCTCTGAAGCAGAAGATACCTCCTATTGAGTGTCCTCTTTCCACACCACTCACTGTCCCTCCCACCACAACCACAGTCACCTCCCCTTGGTAACACACTGATGCTGCTAACCTTCATGCACACATAACTGAGCACCATTCACACCTGCCAATAGCATGACTGCCACACCTCTATGCTTCATCTAAGAAACAGACGACCCTGTGAGGGTTGTTAAAACCCTCTCGAATGGCTTAAGAGCTGGCCAAGGCTTCCAAAACCCACCAGAAATAGAAAGAAAATGAGAAGAAATAGCAGATCTAGGAGATGGGAGGCAAAGTAAATACTCTGAGACCTGCAGAGACTTGAGGATTGGTTTCAGAGAATAAAATAAGCCCAAATTTCTAAAGCCCAAACCAAGACCAGGTTGGAGAAGGGGAAAGGTCAACAGAGAGAGAAAGAGGGAGGAGAAAAGCACATAGGTTAACCATTCACAAGGTTTGGAACAAAAAGTAGAAAAAAAATTAAAATGTGATAGTACATCGCTGTTTGAGCAGTAGATCAACCAGTCCAAAACAAAACTGTAAATAGAAAGCCCTGAGGGCACTGCCGTGGTTGTGGGGAGTCCACAGTTGACCAGTGACCCCCTTAGACAACAAAGCCTCTGCCCACCTCCAGACAGCAGCAGATTAAACCAGAACACCCTGCAGTGGGTTCTCTTCAGAATCCAGCTAGAGAGGACGTGTAACTGGATCACTACTAGCTGAAAGTGGTGACAACCCCCTGCCCCTGACCAGGAACAAGGACCACGGGGTGGAGCAGCCCACCTGGGAAGTTTAGGAAGGATCCAGGACTCAACTAGGCTGCCACCAGGCAGACAGAGAAGGAGCAGAGGCCCACAGCTGGAGGAGGTGGAAGTCAGAGCTCAGATCTGGGCAGCAAGGCAATTTAGGGCCTGAGCATAGGGAAGGGGCAGGGGACCTTAGAACAGCTGCCCAGGAAGAGCCTGAGTTGTAAGAAACCTGGAGAGACTGTCCCCCTGACCATGCACCCACATGGGCCAAAGCTCAGAGAAGCCGCCTGAATGTTCACAGCATAGAGTTGTGGATCCCAGATTGTGGCTGTGGCTGGGGAAAGCAGGGCAGCCATGCCTGAGTCCCCAGGGAGCTTAAAGGGAAAGTGCCCAGACCTTTACCACAGCAGAAACTCTGCAACTGCTAGAAGAAAATGTGCACCCAACACTCCTATATGGTAGCACAAGAACCGACTTCCTGAACAGAGTCCCAAATTATAAGAAAGAAAAGGGGGAAACAATAATTGGGGTGGCATCAAGTTAGACTGATTCTGTGTAACAAGAGAATCGATTAAC